CTTATGCCTGTCAATTAGAAGTCAAAATGTTTTGTCAAATTGGACAGTGAAACTAAAACGTTCTCCTCAGGTGGGCAAATAAAGACAACGGCGCAGCGTTTAAAGATCATTTCCAATGACTGACTTCACAGAATTTACTGGTATTTTGGTGCTGATGTGTGAATAGTCTCTACCGGTAAAAATCCAGAATGCCGTAGCTTGTGTGAACAGCATATTTGTGTATTTACCGGTAAAGTCATTCTGATAATTTTACAGTAATTTGACGGTATTGCTGTGTGAAAGGGGCTAATGTCTACAGGCTACAGGCAGGTGAGGTTTTTTTTATCAGGGTTGGAGCTAAACTCTACAGGACAGCGGTATATTTATTTAGCGGTATATAATAACTGATGTTGCCCATCCATCCCTGAATTCTTTTTTGGTCTTTTAACCACAGACCTTGGCTGAATCCGAAATCGCTCCCTATACCCTCGAATAGGGCATTATTCGAGGGGACAGCCATTTGTAGTGCTGTCCGAAACCATAGTGGACGTTATTGAGTGCACTCATTCTATACATTGCACCGCAATAACAAGTGTACAGCCGATGTTTCATTCACTCCTTTAAGTGAACTGTATTAGTGGACTAACATAGGGAATAGTGATTGAGGCCAGGGCTAAGGGGGCGATTTCGGATTCAGCCCTTTTTTCTCTTGTCAGACAACCTGAAGTCACCAAACGCAAAAACATAAAAGGCAGAAAGCATTTTCTATTTGGATATAGTAGTTTCTCTAATAGCTAGGTTGGCCCCATTAACCCCTGCTTGTAACTACACCATTTTGGGGACAAAGAGCCTCTCCTTTGATGGCCATACAAAAGTAGCCATGTACTACTGTTCAAAAGTTTGGGGACATTCAAAAGTTTTTAAGAGACATTTCTTATGGTCACCAAGGCTGCATTCATTTGAATAGAAATACAGTAAAAACAAAACAGCTAAATTTCAGCAGTCATTAATCCAGTCTTCAGTGTCACATGAACCTTCAGAAATCATTATATTATGCTGATTTGGTGGACATAAGAAACAATTCTTATTATTAATATTGCTGCCTAATATTTTTGTGGGAAACATGATTCCCTTTTTAAAATCCTTTGATTAATAGAAAGTTCAAAAGAACAGTATTTATTTGAAATAGAAATGTATTGAAACATTATAATTAAATTAAATTCACATTTATTTGTATAGCGCTTTTAACACATTGTTTCAAAGCAGCTTTACAGAAAATGCATGAAATGTCTTTAATGTCACAATGTATTAATGCATTCATTTCTATAAAAAAAAATTTTTTACCCAAAACTTTTGAACAATAGGGAAATCTAACCAAATAAAACTTTTTGCACGCAATAAATAAATCACAAATAATAGTAGATGTATTGCCAGTGACTTTGTAGAGGACTCTTAAAAGCATGAAATGTACTTTCAAGGCTATTGTGCCTGTCTGCTGCTTTTCACACTACAGCTCAAGATAGTCTCTTGGGATTGTGTGTGTTTGTGTGGTGCCATCAGCCATTAAGAATTTATAAATGCATGTATAAATAAGAATGTATGTGTATTATTAAAAACAAAACAAAAAAAAACATCACTTACAACACCTTCAGGATGTTGGCTGAAGGACCAACTAATGTTCATGGGTCCGGTTGCAACAAACCCCTTAAACTATAGAAAACCCGTATGATAAGGTTTTCTTAACTTATTGTGTTTGCTGCTACCATAGTCATAATGTCTTAATGTCCAGGAAGTCAACAACCATGACTTTATGATAACAAGTTCTTTTTAAATCAGGAGCTGCTCTCTTTGATGTCTGGGTGACATCCTCCATTCCAACATGGCTTAAAAGAATATGCATGATTCAGTGCATTCAACACAAAAACTGCATCAAAACAAACTGTACACTGAACACCAACAATCATAACCTAAAGTGTAAAACGCATTCAATTTGCAGATGTGAAAGGGGATCGACGTGTCAGGATTTTTCCATTGTGAGCCGATCGAATTAAGTCTATTAAAGATTCAAAAGCTGAAACTGCTGAGGACGGCATTCCTGCCTTCCTCATGCAATAACTGACAAATAAAAGGAACTTCTTTTAGAAAACATGAAGGACACTTTTAGGAATATTGGAAATAGATTGAGTTTGTTGATGTCTGACTAAAAGGTCTGGGTCAAATGTGATGTGCTCATAATTACCCCTTATTTAACCCTTGGGGCTATAATGTCTGTTGCTATGCAAAAGCAAGCCTAGGGCAAACGACTGTGCTGACCCAAATCTAGAGCAGTCTTGCGGTGCTATGAATGTGAGCAAGTGCTTTGATGCAGTTTTCCTCAAGGAAAAAAAAGTGTTACACCTTGCATAAAGTGCACAGACATAAAGGACAGTGCAACATCAAAACAGGTCAGGCACAAACTGCTGCCTTCCACAGTTGAACTACGGGGGTTTAACACAGGTACGGAGCTCCTGAAATGTAATCTGTACGGATAAAAAGGATCTGAAACAACCCACAAAGGTGCTTTGGTCATTGGAGTGGTGGGAATACCCACGAAAGGTGTGCAAAAGACTTCCCTGACACAAGCTGCTGCCACCAAGCCAGGATGTGCGCCAATGTTGTCACCCGAGTCTGAAATTCACAATCAATGGACACCCAAATGATCACTTAGTTTGGTGATGTAAGACATGTCGGAGACATTCATAATGCCAAGGATGCTTTGATCAGGTGATGGACAGTTTTGTCTGATGCATCAGCAACCCCTGCTCTAATACATGCATGCCATCCTGCAGCAATATATTTTCACAAAGCACGTCAAAGATGCAAACACTTACATGCCAGATCGCGAAGAAGATGAGAGAAGCACAGAGGACAAGAGAAAGCATATAGCAAAAGGCAGCGAAAGTGAACATTATTGAGAGGAAACTGAAAGGAAAATCTCCAGGAGAGAAGACGGTGCTCAGCGCCAAACTGGACTGAATGAATGGAAGCAGTTACGGGGCACGCGAGAGGGAGAGCATCATGTTCTTCATCAAAATATTTGCAACAATGTGTTGCAAACCTCGGCTACAGTTCACTGCGATCGCTTTGCCATATTCACGAATGAATGAATAATAATAATAACAAAAAGTCCAGTGGTGCGTCGATATTGCGCGAGTTGCAGCAGTGTAGCGAAGTCCCTGCGAGATCAAGGCATTTGTGGACGGTTAAGCAAATTGTGCGTTAATATTTTCCCATATGGTGTCGTCGGCATGGATAGTCCATTAAAGATGGAGATTTTGTGCGGTGAGGATTTGGGAAATGCAGAAATTTGAGTTAATGCACTGACACACGGTCCTGGCGATCAGTTCACCTTCCTAAACTGAAGGCGCAAGAATATGCTGGCTAACAGGTGGATTTAAAGAGCTCTCTCTCTCTCTCTCTCTCTCTCTCTCTCTCTCTCTCTCTCTCTCTCTCTCTCTCTCTCTCTCTCTCTCTCTCTCTCTCTCTCTCTCTCTCTCTCTCTCTCTCATAATCATACACTGGGTCAAAAGCATGTCCCACGTTACTTTCCTACTTTAAACAGCCATATTTACACGTTGAAATTAATTAGATTAAATTACAATGTAGCCTCCCATTCCATTCCATCACAATTATGGCATTATCAATCACTACGCCTAAAACCAACTGTCACGCCATAACTCATGTAGGCTTCTTCAAAATATAAACAGAAATATATAAGCCTATAGTGTATCTTTTAAAGAATCGCAAAGTTATGTCCTGACAGAAGGAAGAGGTTCATTTTAAAAATATTCCTCTTTTATAAGGTTTCTCTGCAATAAATAACACCGTCAGATATTTATAAAACGAGTTAATATCAAAGTCAGTCCACATCCTGACTGTCCATGTTCCCGATTTCATCGCCATTGAGTTTAGAAACACCACTCACTTAGGATAATTATATTTAATACATAAACTTTCCCCACCGATTTGCCTGTTTTGTTCCATAACCTAGGCTACTCAAGAATCAGTGCATAAGTGACTCATTAGTCATTTTCATCAGTAGGCCTCTAATTTCCTTAAAAAACTAATAGGCTTATACATTTAGCATTTTTTTTATACATAGCCTATTAAAAATAAAATAAAATTCAGAGGATTTATGCTTTATATTGTAGGCTATTTAGTAACTACCACAAAGTAAAATATAAATTATTTTCTTGCGCCATCTTGCGTTTCGACATGATAAAAAAGACAGAAAATTGTAAATTCTGACTTTAAATTTTGTGATGTAACAAAACAAATCGATTGACAGAATTACCATATTAGGCTAAATATCAGTATTAAGTAAGTGAATAAATGAACAGATAAATACACGATCGATTTACAGTGCATTTGTATACAAACCCGGTAAACTGGTATTGGCAGTTTTGTTTATGTTCTCCGGGCAACGGATTATTACAGTTTTTTTTTTATCTACAGCCTTTAATCCTCGATACAAAGATCCTCTCTCCATATGAACGGAACATTTGCATATAATGGACAGGAGGTAAGGTATCCAGAAGAAATATGCTAATATTGGTCAATTTATTTAGCTTAGCCTACTACAAAATATTTATAGGCCTTTCTTTGTCTTTGTAGGCTACCTATAGTAGGCTTTGAAGTGGGCGCAAGTGAGATAAAGTCTTTTTAAAATGACTCTCATTGCAACATTTTGCTCACAATAACAGGAATTAACGCTTAACTTCATTGAACTATTTTTCCTCATTAAAAAGTTTTACCCCTCAAGAAGATGTATGAAGACATATCCAGTCTTATAGCTGATTTAAAATCACATGACTCTGAGCAATATCATTTGTTTATGTAAATCTGTGTAAATAATTAATTAGGCTGCTGTAACTGGCACAATTTCTGAAAATCTAGTGTATTTTTAAATAAACACTTTTTAATTACAACACAAACATAAGTTCAAAAAGTACAGCATAACTGGTCATTCCCTTTGTGATTTCTCTCTCTTGTCACTTACAGTGAAATGTCACAGTCATACACGGATATGAAGAAACACACCGACGTCAGTGACTCATTCTGGAGTTTTGGAAAAGAGCAGGACTTCAAGCCTCACATTAGACACGTTGAGCCTGTTCTTACTGAGTATTTCATTCATCAATTTCTTTCTCATAAAGTATTAAAGTGGATTTAACTAGAGCTGAAGTTACTTCTGAATGACACCTTTTTTCGGTTTTCCCCATAGCTATTTGAAGCAGTGGATGCAAAGTGTCAATGTTTTATTGTATAATCTGAATTGTAAATTGAACTGAATTTTTGACTGGGACACACAAGAGTCTCTTGGTTACAGCTAATTGGGATACACTTGTGATCTGCCTGTGGCTATTTTCAGTATTTCAAATGTTCAAGTCAAACAGAATGTCTATATGTATCCTATTCATATACTTCGGTGTTTTTCTTCTACACTACATTAATGTGATGCCAATGGTTTTAGATGTGATCTTGACTGGAAATCCCATTTGCGCTGGATACCTGAACCTCGATACAGTGATGCCCCATTTCCACACATCAAAGATATAAAGTTTCCAGATGAAAGGAAACTGATGAGATCCTTCCCACGTGAGTTAGGCTTTGATCAGCAGAAATCTGTTCAAGTTAATAAAAGGATCTGAAATGGTGGCAGTTGTACATGGAAACTTTCCTATGTTTTCATTAGAGAAATCTGGAACATCTAAGACACTTTTACCTCTTTCTTTGGAATTTGTTGTTAGATTATCTTATTTATCGGCATGTCTATTTAGAGGCTAATATGATGTCAGAGTCCGAGTGGAGCTTTTATCCAAACTTTGGACAGCCCAAGACCTATCACACTGGAAAGAAATGTTATATGGATGGCATTAATCATACGAGAAGCATGAGATGCATTTCAGAAAATTCCCTGGAATCATCCATGGGGAGGAAAAAGCAGGGTAAGAGCAACATTATCAATGCTAATAATGTCACTCACTGCTGCTGTTCCCAACCATTTATATAGAGAAATTGTATTTAGTAATGTGTACAACAGTGCGCCCCATGTTGATTTAGATCTTGGGTCATTTGTATTTATTTTTCTAGTTTGAAACATTTGTGGCCTGAGAGACATTTGGAACTTTAATAAACCATCTCTTTTTTTTTCACAGACAAATGCAGCATCCCATTAACAAAGGTCAGGCCATTTCTAGTTCCTGAGTACAGCCCTGACTTTCACAAATATGAATCAACACTACGCAGGACCACTTTTGGGTAAGGACCAACATGCTTACTGTAGATGCAGAAAGATAGACCAAAAAGATGGAACGGTTGCCATGTCTTCATGCAAATTAATGAACATTAAACAATTTCCACCTCCTGGGAAGGGATATATCAACATCTCAAAGTTCCACACTAAACTGAACAGACACACACCCTACAATTTGGACTCTCACTTGTGCACATATAGGGCAATTAGGACATACCCAAAGACAAGGGCTGCATCAGAAATCGCATACTTCCCTATAGGCGAAAAACTGTATGTGACAAAATAAGTATGTCTGAATTCACAGTACTCATAAAAGAGTAGTCAAAGGCTACGTTCACACTGCAGGCTGAAACGACCCAATTCCGATTTTTTTGCCCCAATGCGACCTGTATCTGATCTTTTCATGACAGTCTGAACGACACAGATCCGATCTTTTCAAATGCGACCCAGGCCACTTGGGTATGTGGTCCAAATCCGATATGTATCCGATCGTTTGAAATGCGACTTCAATCTGAACGGCCAGGTCACATGTATCCGACCCGCACGTCATTGATATGCGACCAACGTCATAATTCTGCGTTGAAGTAGGCAGGGAATTGACCGTTGAGTACTCTTCTGCGCATGCGGGTCACTTCTGGGTCATTTCACGTTCACACAGGAGATCACAAAAGGTCGCATTTAATTGAAAAAAAAAAAAAAAAAAAAAAAAAAAAAAATCGGAATTGAGCATTAAGCCCCTGCAGTGTGAACGCAGCCAAAAAGTACCCTGATGACCTACTACTTCCAGCAGGATTGTAAAGTGTGAATACGATGGACACCTTATATCCCATGAGGCCACTGAGGATTTGTGAATGGCAGTGAAGCGATGCAATTGACACTGGTAGATCATATATGATAATGACAACATGGCGAAGATAGTACATCTGGATTACAATCACACACATTCATACTATATAGAACATACTTTTTTAGAAGTCGTGAAGTAATTACTTATTCAAAATAAGTACTCACTTAAGAGAATATGCGATTTCGGACGTAGCCAAGGGCTATAAATATTCAAGGACCTAATGATTTAACAAGAATAATTAACAAGAAACATCTGGAAGACAAGAGCAAAGGGACAAAACTTCAAAGTAAAAGCACAGGCATAGATCATAACCTCATAAAAAGGGAAACTCCAGTTAAATGAGTGAATCTATCTTACATGTTTATTTATATATTACTCCAGGTCTGGGTCTTTTGCCACATTCAAATCATTTTTACACCTAAAGCCCCAACCAAAAGACATCAGGTAGGTAAAACAAATCATCTTATTTATTTTGTCACTAATATAGAAAAGCAGCTAAATAATTGTATTTTTATGAGAAAAATGTATTCAAATGTTTAATAAAAGAATCATTCCAAACCCGTAAGATTTGATTCATCTTTGGAACACAAAATATCTTTTTGATGAAATCTTTCTGTCCCTCCACTGACAGCTACGCAACTACCACTTTGACACTTCAAAAAGTTCATAAAGAGATCTTAAAACAAATCCATATGAATTAGCTTCACTTTTTTGAATTCACAATTTATGAGCAGATTGAATTTAGGCTTTTATTCACATATAAACATTGATCAGTGGTTTTTGTAGTTTGTGTTTGGTAGTTGCGTAACTGTCTATGGAGGGACAGAAAGCTCTCAGATTTCAACAAAAAATCCTTATTTGTCTTCCGAAGATGAACAAAAGTTACGGGTTTTGAAGGTGAGTAAATGATGACAGAATAAAAATGTTTGGGTGAACTAACCCTTTAAGATGCTGTATATATTTACAGTCCACCGTATGCAGAGAAACATAAAAGTCGTCTGCGAGAGGAGGACATTCTTGAAGTCCAGAGTTTGAGCAGTTGGAGGCCAGCACCAGACATCTATGACAGGACAGTTTTACAGGACACCTCATTTGTAAGGTGTTGAAATCATGCTTACGTATTTTTAGAACAAACAAAATGCATTTTCTTTCCTTTAACACCACCTCATGGCTTTCCATCGAGACATTGTTCAGCACCAGCTTCACATTGGAAAGGACTGAAGCATTATTTGCCCTATTAGTTAGGGCTCCATCAAATAGATTGTCCTTAATTCCCTGTCAAATGAATTAAGATCTTGGCCCAGCATTTAATCGCAGGATAAAATAGGGAGCAGTAGTTGTGTTGGCAAGTAGTTAAGTAAATAGAATGTCTTTCAATTTCTGGTTTTAGGAGAATCAGAATTGAGTATATGTATCTTTCATAATCAGAATGATATTATAAGCGAACATTTTATTGCAGTCCATTTTTTTGCACTGAACCATATTTTACAGTGAGGGTGTAATTTCTTTTGTAATAATGCTTTTATCTGTATAGGGTAGTGTTTGATATTTATAAGACCCACGAGCTTATCAACACTGCACAGCCTGTATGTTGTCATTGTTGTGCAGCAATACTGTCTCTGACCTCACACGGCACATTTTGATAATATTATCCTTGACTTGCATCACAGTTATGCAGTAGAGATAGATAATATTATTTCAGTCTGATAATGCTATAAAATTTCCATAAAATCTACCCAGAGGGTAATACCAGCCCACAGTGTCATTCATATTTATATAGACCACAGATTTTCGGCCATTAGAAGTTGTTTAGCTATTTAGCTCTCAACTAAATGTGTTAGAAGCCTTTTAGTGCATGCCATTTTGTTGCATTTTCCTATTATCATTTAGGACAATAAAAATGATAAATGAGAGAGTGAGACCGGTTGAATAGTGTGTGTCCATTTACTACAGCTGTGTGCAGATCCCTCTTTGGGGGTCTGGGACCGCACCTGGAGCAATTTGCCATCCTGGAATTTTTACATTTATTACCTTATCTGTTATCTGAAGTTTCTTTTTTAAGTGACGAGATGCATTCAATGGTGACGTCAATTTGCAGTTTGCTTAATTGCACCAATACATGTCTTTATATTCATCTTTTTATGCATCTTTAAAGACTAATTTAGAGATTTCCTGATTGGCTGGTTATTGAAATGAAGTGATTTCTGTTCCAAACAACAGAGCTCATTTTTTCATCGGACCATGCATTGCAGGGCCCCAGAGCATATTGATTTACCCATGAAATGTGTGTTGATTTACTACAGCCATGTGCAGATCCCTTTTTGGGGGTCTAGGACCACTTGGAGCAATCTGGCATCCTGAACCTTGCACAACACTTTACAGGTATTACCTTATCTGGTGCAAACAGGGCTCGCTGTTTTCTGCACTTGCCTGCGAGACAATTTCAGACCTGCTGCATCACTCTTGGGAGAATTAATGTAAGGACCTTTTGTTTGTCGGGTGTTTCTGTCTTCTCAAGAGAAAAGGATTATGTTGAGTCCAAGTGCACTGACAGACCCACTCTGAGTAGTTGTTTGAACTAGAGTGGCAGCCACTAGAAACATGCAGTAGCACATTGTGGAATTTGGCACATACTCCACTCTATATTGACAGGAAACATAGACATATTGCTCGATCCAACTGTCTGGTGATGGGGACACAAAAGTGCGGAAGTATGATCTGTAGTTTTAACAAAAGCCCTGGAGATGTCAAAAGTGTGTTGTGCTATTTAGCAGACTCACAAGGACATTGTTCATTTGCACCGGAACTGTAACTATACAAATCTGTCCTTTGACTTGACTCATTCCATCCGAATCATTAAAATCAGTGCAACTGGATCAGCTGAATTTAAATGAATCATTCGAAGTGATTTGTGAACCGAATTGTTCATTGAAAAGTTATAACCTAGTTTTTTTAGAGGGTTAACTAAATCGTTCCTGAAAAATAATAATATAAATACAGAATTGAATATAGTAAGGGACAGGGCTAGTATAAACTGCTAAATCATAGGCAAAAAAAAAAAAAAAACATATTCACATCCCAGTCACCAGAGGGCGCAGTTTCTGAGTTCCAGATTCTATTCCAGAACTAAGAAAGTGGAAAACGGTTCTGTTAAGGTTTGTAAATACTGCAGCTAATGTGGAGGATGAGATTGTGGTGTCTGTTTAGTTTTGTTGTGTAACAGAAAATCCCAGAAAGAAGGTTTTGTTCAGAGAAATCACAATTGAATATATGATCCTCACAGTCCTTATTGTTGAGCATGATCAGATGTCCTTTGGTAATCCAATTTAGCATGCAAGAACATGAACAAGCCAATGTCTTGTGCGACACAATATCAGAACACAGAGGTTAAAAGCAACAAGTCCATTTGTAGGCCATTTTAAGCCATTTGAAGTCAATAACATGTTCATTTCTCCAGTCAGATATTTGTTTACCGTTTTGTCTCTTAAAAAAAATAAATAAAAAAAAGGTTTGATAGTGTAAATCAAGAATGCCATTGATGAAGCCAATTACACTCATATTTTGCTCATTCATGTTCAAAATGAGATTTTGATATTATGTGAAGAAATGCTTTTGTTTTTTTCTGACATGTATAGCCTTCTGACATTTCAAGAATGGCTTTCCTAACACTTTTAACATTGTGACAATCTTTAAAGCCGGTGACAAGCTCCCTTGAGAATTTATAAGCTCCACAGATCACCTTTAAGCGCATTTATGTCAAAAGGGGAAGACGAATCCCTGGCACAAAAGTGCTCAGAGCGCACCAGAAATCTTGCATCACTTATAGCATACCAATGTTGATGTATTATTTTGGAATAAATGCATTCAGAATAAGAAGTGAGCAATTAAATCTATCTTTAGCTGAAGATTCTTTTAAAAAAAAAGAAGAAAAAAAAGCGATGAGTCATTTAATGGCAACGTTGCATTTTGAGTAATTGCCACCAATGCATTTATAGGCTATCATCTTTTTATGCATCTTTAAAGACTAATTTAGAGATTTTCTGATTGGCTGGTTATTGAAATTAGGTGATTTCTGTTCCAAACCACAGGCATAGAGTTCACTTTTTCTTTGAACCGTCGAAGGGCCCCAGAGCATATTGATTTAGCCATGATCGCTCATTGATCCTTGGCCATCAGAGAAACCCCCGACACAGCACTCTGTAAGGATTTGTTTCTGACAGTGGTACTTCTGTACACTGACAGTATTAAGTAGAGTGCCTACTGATTAACTACCAGCGCTGTAGCCTACTGATAGGCTTTCTGGTTAAATGTGTGCAAGGAAAAGCAATGCTAAGGGAGGATCACGGTAGTCTGCTGTGAAATATTAATGAAAGCTTTCACAAATTTGAAATCTAAATAAGTTGGGCATTTGTCATTTGCAGGGGTCATAAACTTAATTTATGCACAGTGAGGTCAGTGCAAACTTGAATGGATTTTACCATCTGTTCAGGCATTTTTAAACAGACTACAAAGGAAAATGTCAACCTGACAGCTGTTGTTATTTTCTTACATTGAGTCATTGGAGATTGGTTCATTTTTATGAGATCACACTGTAAAAAGAAAAGGTGCCTGGAGGAACCTTTTGGGGTTCTTCACTTTGCCACACCGGCGGAACCGTCTGTAGATCCTCTAGGGACCCTTTTAAAAGGGGCGGTTCTCTGAGGAACCACCCAGGTTTCCTGAGGAACTCCTATATTAGGCACTGTGTAGAACCGTTTTGGGTGCCTCCAGGAACCAATTTGTATTTATTCATTATTATTTAATGTTGTTACTATGGTTACCATTCATTTTTATACCATTCTATTATTATAATATACAAACTGAACCAAATACAAAATAAGAATTGTTTATTACATATTTTAGATCCATTTTAATACATACACTTCCATACACTTTGGAAAAGAAGCTAGTATAGATGAATATCAATGAATAGAATACACAAACAAATAGTATAATACATAAGCAACATGAATAATCAACCGTGTATATACAATAGGCTATACAAGAAAAGACATCTCAACAAAATGCATGGAAACACATATGTTGCATGTAAAAAAAAAATCTTAAAAAAGTGCATCTTCACTAAAGTTAAGTTGTGTTAAGCTTGTTAAGTCTGATGTCACTGTTTCCAAATCCAAAAGCTCTATCAGATGCCAAAAACAAACATCAAACGGTGCTAATATACACTCATTGTGCTGTAAAATTCCTGAAAATGATAATCCTAACTAACAGGACTCATAAATGGTTGTTGAGTATTCTCACTAGAAACAAGATAGATAGTTAAGGTGCAGTATAATTATCTGTTGTTCATTGAATTTTCACTGGTGAATTCCAGTCATTTCAATAAGAATCCACACAATCAGCAATTTTATGTGTGGTCAAAAATGTCACTCTGGGACCAAGTTGGTCACTGGAATTGGCTGGATTTGACCAACAGAAAGCTGCTGGAAAGTGACTCCTGTGTGAGCTGTGCTTCATACATTACGTCGCTACACTGCTGACAATGGTCAATGGACTTTTTTGCCCGTGTAATTTCACAAATGTGACCGCACCTTTACTCGCTGCAACATAAAATGCAATCAATAATAAAATCTTCACAAGGGACATGTGCAGTGGCGGTTCTAGCCCATTTCAACTGGGGGGGCCAAGCTGGGGCCAGTTGTACTGTTAGAGGGGCCAGTTACATTTAGACCGTATTGTTGTCATATCATTTTCTGCACTGCTGCAGGCATTAACAGGCAAAATACCGTGTTTATAATCATTCAACAATGTATTTGCATTTCCATTATATTTTTACATTTGCATTACATATTCAGTATTAGTCACAGTAACTGTAATAGACATGATGTCCTTCTTTCTCTTCATTTTGAGAACTATAGAGCAAAAGCAATGGGGACCAAGAAGCTTATTAATTCATTTACTGAAAATAACTGACTTGATATGTCTAACCGTTTACAGGGTTCCTGCACACTTTTTAAAGTCCAATTTAAGGCTTTTTAAGACCTAAAGAAATCAAAATGAATACCGTACATTAGGGGTGTGCAATATTGACAAAAATATATTTCAATATTTTCAACATTTTGTTAATAATTAGATAATATTTTACTGATTGTGTTTTTGTGCTGGTGCCATGGCTGGTTTAGGCCTGTTGTTGACAGCTGACTCACGAAGATATTCATATTTTTCATATTCTATGCAGTGGTCAGTTCACAGCAGTGACAGAAATACATTTTTTAATTAAGGGGCAATATTTGCCACCTTAAATTGATTTTTTCAGGGGCATTTTCACCTATATATGGACATTTTTTCTAAACTTAT